GAGTGGTCAGCTGCTGCTCTAGAGCTATTTTAGCTACTGGAAAACAATTACAGAACTACAAGGGAGTTTTGTGCTCCCCTATGGCAGACACATTTTTATAGTATCATAACAAAGTTCAGCCACACAGACATCTATTCACCAACTAAAACCATTCCAGGAATTTAGTTACATTCTGTCTTTTTTTTTTTTTCACTTCATCTGTTCTGTTTGATATAAATAATGTATGCCTTTATCTAGGTAAGTACTAACTCTGGTTGTAAGAAAGCACATAAAGTGTCTCATTACAGATATCATGTATTCTATAAAATCATGTATTTTGAATCTCCTTTTTAATCTACCAGTACTAAAGTTTTGTGCAAAATGCTACACCACTTATTTTGTGTAGTACTGGCTCAACATCCAGAAGTCAAATTGGGAGCTTCAGGTTTTCGCTGGACTTAATGTTAAGAGCTGGAGCAAAATTCTGGTTTAATTAATTAAAAGTTGCAAAAGGAAGGAGAAAACACACTTAAGAAACCAGAAATCTAGAATACAGAAACAAGAACCTGGAGCATTATGCTGAATCAGAGTAGACTTTTAAATCCAGAAAATACTACCATGACTAATTGCACATTATTTTCCAAACACAAACATCTCTGATACACTGCAAATGCATAGAGATTTATTTTCAACTGAAACACAGGGGTGCATCCACTCATAAACCCTAAAGCTTGACATACTCAGAAATCCTTTCTTCAAAGCTTTTGAAGCTCTGCCTGGCAAACACACATGATGCTCTGTCATTTGATAGCTATGGACAGTTACTCATCCAGTGATTCAGCTTTTCTGATGAATTCAGATTCGGTTCATGTGACTCCACAGCCAGAGCTACGTTCCCATGTCTCGAGGTTTTTGGCTCTCTGAGGGTTCTATAAGACTGTCAGGAAAACCCGTCCTGCAAGGTTGCTTCAAGTCGAGCACTCTCAAGGGACCAAGAAGATTCCAAGCATATGTGAAAAATCAAATACTCTTTCTAGAAGTTAAAACATGATGTGAAAAGTTATGCTTAGAAGCTAAAAATTAAGGAACACACATGTCAAGAACAGATCCGGAAAAACATTAAACCTAACACACACAAACCCACTCCAGCATTTCAACTGAAGAGGTGGGATGCATTTTTTTTTTTTCAATGAGTTAACTTTTCAGAAATGTAAAAATTATGAGGATTCTGAATCTAATTTTTAATTTATGACTCCCTGTATTCCTCAGAAAGTGCAACTAAGCCACAAAGATTTATGACTCCAGTCTGAGAGGGAGCTGGCTGGAATAATGAAAAGGCTCTAGCAGTGCTTCTTATTGCAGCTAAAAGGGGTGACAGTACCGAGGTCAATATTGGATTCTGATGTAACTACAAGCACTTCACAAAATTTAAATAATGCCCAGCATTCTTTTACTATACCGAAACTTGATAGAAAACTTGAAAATGACAGGCTCTGACAACACCTGCAAGGTTTATCTCTGCAATGCTTGCTGTATTTATGTTTCCTTTTATTGATAAAATGTGCGTACTTTGAAGGAATGGCAAAACACAGCACAGAATTCTAGATGGATGTTATTTTAAGAGCTCTCATATGAGGTTACTTAAAAACCTACAGAAAATATCACCATGAACTTGCTCACTTCCATCTTACTTTCCCTCATCATTCCGGTTTAGTTTGATTTTCTCATTCCGGGAATTGCTCTGATGTATTTAACAGGTATCACCAGTAAACAGTGAGGTGAAATTCCTGGTATGTACTTTGGAGACAAGCAGCTGTAGGACACCAACAGCCTCTTCAATACTTCCTCTCAAACATTTTTGCAAATCACGAGCACAGCATTAAATACTGAATATTTAAATTGTTTAAAAACATTAGGAAACGCTAGATACTGGAAGGCAGTCATATGTACAGATTTTACTTCAGTGTCCAGGTTACAAAGTGGTATAGAAAAAAACAATTGGCTTGCAGTTTCTTTTTACTCCAGAAGAAAACAGAAGCTGTTGTTTCGGGAAGTTTGGATTCCTAACAATAGCACGGACAGCACAGGGTATCCGACTGCACTCGTGGAAGACGGAGAGGCAGGACTGGAAGCACAGTCCTGGTGGTGGTGGCTGTGTGAATGCACCAGAAGACAGGGAATACCTTTGTCCCACAAGAGCTGATCAATTCTTTCTGTGATGATACTTAAGCCAACAAATTAAGATGGAAGACTCCTGGTTTAGAGCCCAACTGTAAAGCAAGGGCAGATCACACAAAATCAAACTATTTAAAAATACCCAACCTTCATTTTTTTGGCTCTTTGTGTCTTCTGATGACTTTTTATTTCCTGAAATTGGTCTCACTTCTAATTAGACCTCCTACCCATAAATGTCAACAGGCTTTCTGTGTTGCAGAGGAGCACAGAACAGTCTTTGGTTGCTGTTATTGCTAAGTCTGGACTGCTCCGCTTAAGCCCCCATCCCATTACCTTTTATTGCAGTTTTGCCAAAATTAAAACACATTCACATTTAAATGCAGAATTTCCCCTACCTCTCCTTCCTTAAGTATAGGCAAGCTCTACAGCCTGAGATAACTATCACCTCAGTCACCTTAGCCCCAAACTTTAAACCAGTTACGCTAAACAGCAGAAGGAAACAGCTTGTGATAATGTTACTTTTCTACTTTAAGGAATTCGAGGTGTTTTTTTTTTTTTTCCCCTTTCAAACACAAGACTACAGAGAAGTTACATAAATCAAGGCTGGGGTGAGCAGGTGATGACTCCCACACAGACCAATCCTAACACTGAATACACAGGTCGCTCCACAGTCTCTGCACTACTCACTACGGCAGACATGGAAATTACTGACTTTTTGGATTAGCACCCTAATGAAACACTTGCTTTAAAGGCAGCTAGATGGATTTTAAGTTTATTTTGTCCAGGAGGACATGGAGTGTGAAATGATGTAATTCCTTTATAGCAATCGAGTTTTTCTGTGAGAAATTATGCCTTGAAGAGTACCAGCATCCTTGAAAGCTCATCTGGGCAAGCAGCTTCAACAGGCTGAGAGGGATTAAAAAATAAAAGAAAATTTAACATGCCTTTACTCTTCCCTTAACATTTCACAGATTTGTTTGTCATTTCTCTCAGTACTTTCATAACCAACAAGTGACAGGCAGATTGACAGGAATTTACAACATTGCTGTCAGCATTCCATCAGCCCAAAGAAGTGGCTTGGCCATAAAAAACACTGGTATTTAATTAACTTTGCCTACAATTGATCAAAATAATCCAGTCAACTTCCAATTACTTCTGATCTGATCTGCCTAATGAATGTGGTGAGATAAGAACACACCATGAGTGATACGTCACTTCAAAGCTTAAAACTTTTTAAAATGACCAAAACCAAAATGCATTTAAGGACAGCATCTTTACTGAGAGCTTTGGGTTTGTTTGCAGAGTCTGCTACAAAAACACCATGATGAGTGTTTAGTAAACAAGGGGCAAAGGTAATTTATTTTTTATAAACACCCAGAAGCCTTACTAAGTGGTGTCAGACTGAGATTATCCCTTTTAATCAGTGGTAAAGACAATAATATAATCACTATCCACTTTGTGTGTGTACAGAGAAAAGAGGAACCTTTCAAAATTATTTCAAGTTACCTTGAGCATCAAAAAGATACTATTTCACTACAGAAACTTGAAAAATTACAGAAATCATTAAAAAAAAACCCTCTTTTGTCATAAAGGGGTTAGACAAAGAACAATATTGAGAACTGGTGAAGAATACACCAATAGAATTTAATATTGGACAAAAAAAGAAGAGAACCATTAAGACAAGGGAAGACAGTAAATGCTCTCCTCTGTGTGACATAACTGGAAAGTACATTATTGAACAGCTTAGGCTGCAGATATCTGGTATTTCCCTTTCTGTTTTCATTTTCAGTTCAGTTTCACTCTGTACCAAAGAACTTCCACTTTCATTAGAACAGACGGCCCAGCTACAAACACAGACTGCTGGAGGTCCGTTTGCAGGCCAGGATAAAAACCCAAACTACTGGAATTACAAAGAAACTAAACCAAAATAATCAAGGTCCCCAAACAGAATATAAGCAAATGACATGTATTTTGAATCAAAGTTAGAACACACAGACTCAGACAGTCAAACGTGTTTCTTTCCTACGGAAAAAGATAAGATTTACTATGGAAAAACTAAGACTGCTCGATGACCAAACCCACATGTTTTTCTGCTCCCACTATC